GTATTTGAATTTGATCTGGAGTAGTTATTTCGACTATTTGGTCTATTGTAGTGATTTTGTGATGAATTATTCGTGTTTCTTCGTTCTGGTGATCTTCCTCTATAACTTGAGTTATATGGTGATTGATTTCTTGTATAATTTGTATTGTTCGGGAGTGGTTTTCCTGAACTGTTGTTGCTGTGGACTGTTTTGTTCGGTAGATTTTGATCTTTTTTCATGTATTGATAGAATGATTTATTTGGTTCTTTATATTTTTGAGGTTTATTTTGATTGTCTTGCTGTTTTTGTCTACATTCAGAAATACTGTGTCCGTATCGTCGGCAATAATTACACCATTTTTTGAAAGATGGTTTGCCTTTAAAGTTTGGGTTCTTTTCGTAAATATTGAGTATTTCAGTGATTTTTTCAACGAGGTCTGTCTCTGATTCCTGTATATTATTAATATTAGTGGGAGTCGTTTCAATTTTGTTAACGTATTGTAATTTCAGATTTTCCGTTTCTTCTAGTTTCATCGTGATTTCTGCTTGTTCTAATTTGTCTACTAGTTTTCGAAAATCTAAATCGGGTTCTCGAATTGAAGAAGGATGGGATGCTCTCTTTTTTATTGCTATTTTCCTTAATTGTGGTGTTAAGGTCATCATTAAGATTTCTGTCATCTTTGTGTTTTTATAGTCATGTGTATTTAATGAATATGCTTTTCGAACTAGTGTTTCGATTCGTACTGCTATTTGCTTGATGGTTTCGTTTGGTAATCTGCGAATTTCATTACATAAAACTCTTTGTTGTTGTTTGTTTCTTTCGGAGTCAAACATTTTTGAAAATTCTTGTGTAAATCTTTTCCAGTTTGATTTTATTTCTAGAGGTAGTACTGAAAACCATTTTTGGGCTGCGCCATCTAAGGTTGTTTGTATTAACGCTGTGCGTCGATGTATCCAGTTTTGATGTAGTGGCGTATTTATTGGTTCAGGTCCAATATTTAAAATCAGGTTTGCTGTTACTGCATTTAAATAATCTTCTACAGAGTATTCAGGGTCTGTTCCTGTGAAAACCATTAAAGGTTTATTTGATGTTATTGATGATCCACCCATTAGGTATGGATTCATTGTCATTTGTAATGATTCTGCTGCATTTGGCATTTGAGAAAAATTCGAAAATTGGTTTCTTGTTATTTCATGTTGTTGGAGATAATATGGGAGTGGTATTTCATTTTGCATTTGTGATGCTTGATACGAGTGTGCAGTCATTGGATTATGTTGTTGAATTGGTTGAAAAGATTGTGTATTAATTAGATTTTGTTGTTGAATTGGTTGTTGATGTTGTGCATCTATCGGTTGTGGAGAAAAATTCCTATGATTTGTACGTGTTTTCTGTATTCCTTGTCTACGATATTCTTGAGTATTTGGTGCAAATATATCTGGTTGTAAAAAATCATCATCTGAGGATAAATAATCCATTTGATAAGATGTTTGTTTTTTATTTTTATTTTGTTGAAAAAATGGGTAATTTTCACTGCGATCCTGTGGAGGATTTGGTTGAAAATTTTTGGAATTATATTGGGCCGTTGGGTTATCCCAGTTTCGAGGTTTTGTATATTGATTAAAATTCCTTTGTGGTTGATAATTTGTTTTTGACGGATGTGTATAATTATAATTATGGTCTGCAAAGTTGTTTCTAGTGAATGTTTTGCGTGTTTTTGATGGTATTGTCATGGGTCTATATGTTTGGTAATCCATATGTGAATATTTTGGAGCAACCGAAGGTTTAACGGTTGATTGTAAGGTTACTTGTGTTTGTGAAAGATTTGTATTTCTTGGTGTTGTTAAATTCGGGCGTATTGGTGAAATACTTTGTTGTGTAGTTGTTGTGTGTACAATTTCTTCATTTATGAAGTGTGATGGTGTCTGTATATCTTGTTGAGTAAGATTCCTAGTTCCATTGAGGTTTTCGTTGTGTATGACTGTAGAGTTTAAACTATTATTTTGTGTATCGGGTAAAAATGTATTATAGTTTAATGGTGTTGCATCAATTGTTAATGGTATTACTCTTACATAATCTCTTATGTAAGATATTGTACCTATTGCTTGACTTGAGATTGATTGTGGAAAGCTTATAAATGCGGGATGAGACCATTCGGGGTCCCAAACATAATCTGATTGTTCTGTGATAGCGGTATCATCGTTCGAATTTTGGGGTCTAAAATTTTTTCTTGCTTGTGCAATTAAATCAATATTGTGTGTGAAATAATCTATTATGAACCATGCCAAAATTTTTTGTAAATCGTGTTTGGTATGTTGTGAAACGTCGTCTTTCGTGAAATTTTCTTTAATGATGTTTAAATAACTAGAGAGTAGTGTGATTTCATGTCGTACTCTTAAATGTTTAGATGTTTCTGTCGGTGAGACATTTGTTAGTGGGAGTTCATTTTCTAATATCGAAATATAACTATATATTATTGCGAAAACTTCATTGGTGAAAATGGAGTTTGCTCTTTGTGAGTTATGGTATTGGATGCTTTTTATATATTCTGAAAAAACTTTTGAAAATTCTAAGTCAAGATCGTCTGTTTGAATAGTATATGTTCTATTATTATGGTTTGGGGAAGTGAATTCTATAGAGTAGATTCCATACTGTTGTGTTATGTTGCATATATCTTTTAGATAGTGATCTATGATTTGTCTTTTGATTTTTACATCGGGGAACTCTGTTTTACATGGACTGATTCCGGGTTCAAATAAATTTACGAGTAAATTTTGACAAAATATGTGTTGTCCTCTATCAGTATCTGCATCTACTATAAAAGGAAAGATTTCATCATCATCTGGAGTTTCGTCACCTGGGGTGTGTGTTGAACTCATTTTTCCGTTCGATGACTGTTAATATGTAATTATTAATGTGTCGAATTGGTTGATTCCAATTGTATAGATGTACTGGTTTGTGTTTGTACTGTTTTTTTATTCTTCTTTTTCCTCTTTGTGATGAATTTGAAGTTGTTTCTGAGTCAGAAAAATATAGTTGATCGTGAAGTGGGCAATTTTTATCTATTGATTCTTTTAGTTTGTAAAGTTCGTCTAAACTGTTGGTTTCTGATTCTGAAAATGCGTTTCGATTTTTTGAAAATCTTTTTCGTGTTATTTGTCTTTGTTTAGTTATTATTTTCCTCTTTAGTGTTTGTCGTTTTGTGCGAATGTATCCAACTGTTTGTGTATGAGGTGTGATTACAAGGTCGTATTTTTTGTTATCTATTTCACAATTGTGTAAAACGATTGTTTGTTTATTTCCTAGGTTTTTAAATGACATAAGGTTTAGGATGACGGATGCAAAAAGTTGTTAAGTGAATTCTAATTACTTAAACTGTTAGTCCTTACGATTTTTTGGTTAGCTTAACCTGGGTCTATTTGTTCAGGGTTGGAGAGAAAAGTATATCGATTCCGAAGAATGATTTTTACTTTCTCGTGACTAGTATAAGCTAAGGTGTTAACTTACTTAATCTTACTTAGGGGTAGTGATTGTGTTCAAGGGTTGGAGAATAGTAAATCGATCCACAAGGTTCAGGTATAATTAGAACGCGAGTAGTTCGTTAGATACTATTTTAAACTTACTAAGTCTAAGATTTATCCTGGGTCTGGTAAGAGGGGGGGTCAAGTGAAGGATGAATAACCGAAGTTCTTCACTGTTTATCCTAATTTGAATGATTAGTTTTGTGTAAAAATTTCTATTAGTCCTGGGTTTTTAGAGAGGGTTGGATAGTGAATCGACGTTTGAGGTCGTTAGACACTAATTAAGTGGGTGGGGGAGAACAAAGTTGTTTTGTTTGATCCAAGGATAAGCCTTGATGATCAAATTTGAAATTTAATTAAGTAGAAAATGATTTAAGATCCAAGGATAAGCCTTGATGATCTGGTTTTAAAATTAAGTGAATTTAAGTTTTAATAAATTTTTTAAATGTGTGTAAAGGAAAGATTTAGTGTTTTGATGATATTAGTGAGTTTATGATTGCTGTTATGTTTTAGGTGATGGAGCTGGAACAACAGGATGATTTATGATTACTAACCATTTATTGTCATGCTACTAATTTTTATTTTGATTTTTCAATAAATATTTTTCAAACATGTTTTGTATATTACTGCAGAGTTTTAGGAAAACGATCTTAGATCTTTTTATCAATCGTTATTGTATAATATTAATTTTGTTTAGCGCCTGAAATGATTTTGAAGAGTAACTTCAAGGTTTTATGTTTGCAAATGGAAATCTAAATTCATTGCAAGTAGTATTCGAAATATAAAAGTTTGTTCTGGCTTTTGCCGAACTATCATATAACTATACGGCAAGTTTCTACTTTGTCGTATGTCGTCTTTGGTTCGAGGTCTTCTTCCAATTCCGGGTAGTTCTGTTATGGTTCGGAATATTGGCTCTGATCTATTGAGTCGGAGAGACATTTCAATTAAATTATTGTCGTATAACATTTTGTAAATGTTTTTGTCTAATTTCTAATCTATTTTTGGTTAATTCTAATCTAGTAAGGTCTTGTTCGAGACTTATGGTCGCACCAGATGAGTTAAGACTGGAGTGTATAACTCATAGAGTAATTTCGGATAGGGTACACCGTCTGCTCGTCACGCTATCTTATTTTCGGCCGGATAGATTCGTGCAACTTCTTAGTCTAATACCGATCCTAATCTTACTCTTATACTATCTAGTCTCAGGTTGTTTAACTAGTCTCTGCTAGGCTCAATAGATCTAGGGTATACTGGTTTATTGCGGCTGCTGAAGTGCTCGGGAGAGTCCAACTAATTTCTAAGTTAAATTCAAATCTCTCTGGTGCTGAAATTACAAGTAACTTCAGCACTTACAAATAAGTGGGTTGTTAGTTAGATGGATCATGATTGGTTAATATTAAATACTTTACATTGGTAAAACATTTAATTTATCCAATCATAAAATATAGTTTAGATCAGGTTCCACTATTAAGAATGTCTGAAGAACCTAACTGGAAACCGAAGTCATTTGTCTTAGTTCCGAAACTTAACAACAATTCCAATCGTTTTTTGTATTTCTTGGCTTTGATTTTACTGTTTATTGTTTATTTTTTATCTAAAACCTGTATTAAACTTTCATATACTAGAATCACAAATGAACCTGAAAGCAATTCAAAACTAAAGCCATCGAAGTTTTCAAAATGCCTTGAATCCAATTGGAACCCTAGGCAAACAACCCATTTACGCGCGCCTATACGTTGCTTGCCCAATGGTGAAGATATAATCATTTCAAATTTGTCAAACACCTCATTTTGCGATTCAAAACAAACCAATGTACGAGTTTTGGTTATTCATAGTCGTAACAACAGCTCGCAACTAAGAAAAGCGATTCGAAATTCTTATGCTGATTTTACAAAATACCCGAAAGAAAGTCTAAATGGAAACTGGACGAAACTTTTCCTCGTCGGAAAACCGAATTGTGAAGAAGAGAAGCTAAAAATTGCAGACGAAAATTTTGAGTTCGGTGATATTGTTGTTGCCAATGTAGACGAAGGTTACTATTATCAACTATCATTGAAGTATTTGATTGGACTGAAGTTTGTTTCGTGTTTTTGCTCTCATACTGATTATTATGTGAAAGTTGACGACGATACTTACTTGAGGCATTTCTTCCTTGCTCTTTGATGGCTATTTTGACTAGAATTTTCCTAGAGTTATTTATTTTTCGACATGATTGGCAATAAGATAAATGTTTTTCGCAAGCGTTTGCAAAATAATTTAGCTCAAGTTTTTCAGTCTTTTGGCCGAGTCCTTGATCAAGCATACTTTTTGCTCTATTAGCTATTTTCCGCTCCTCTTTTTAGCTTCTCCCGCATACTTGGTCTAGAGTTAAGGATCAAATTGAGTTCCTGTAGAAAAATGGAAAAATTCTGCTCAACAAACTGTTGGCATGGTTTGTCACGATCACGGAATTTTTTTGCGATGTTAACAATTTTCTTTCTAGCTTCAAGTGTTTTTGATTTACTCCTGTTATTTGAAAAATCTTAAATCCTGATTGCAAATTTTCCTTTTTTTATTGCTTTTAGGTTCCTATCAACGTCATGAAGACTCTTATATATTTCGTGAAATTTTTTTTGTTTTTTTTTTCTGAAATAAAAATAATTAAAATTTGATCACGCTCAAGCTTGACTTTTGCTGTTTGATTTTTTTTTCTAAAGTCACTTTCTTGTCTTTGTTAAAAGTAAGACAAACTCCACTAACGAACAACAAAAAAAAGTAGAAACGTCACCAAAAACGTTATCGACTTCTAGTTTCGAAAGTGGAATTAAATTTTCAGATGTCGCAGCGGATTACAAAAAATAACCAACTGATTGAGTTATCTGAAATTGGTTTATTTTTAATTGAGAGAGTCTATCAAAAAAACTTCTTGAAATTCAAAAAGGTTTGAGGCCGCATATTTTATTTCTTGTTTGAAATTCAACTAGTCAGTTTTTTTGCTTACTTGCATGCATTGGCTCTTTTCCAACTGTCGGTACAAATCGTTGAATTTCAATACTTAACTTTTTAGCTCAAGCTTTTGATGGCAACAATTTTTTGGCTCAATGGAAGTTTACCAAATTATTGTCGGCTTAGTTGCCTCACTCGATAAAAAACTTATTTCTGCAGACTTCTTTACACAGGCTTGTACCGCTGGGCATGTTTTTCTCGAACAAAAACTTAATTGAGACGAAATTGTGAAAATTTTGTAATTGATTTTTTTGACATTTGTTTTTTTTCGACTTGTAAAGTTTTTAATGGTTGAAAATTTTCTGCTAGTTGAATTTTTTGAAATATATTTCGTTTATGTGCATGTAATCGGAATTTCTACAGAACACGAGTTTCTGCTGCAGAGCACGAATTTCTGCAGACAACTTTTGTGATGTCATTTCAACAGTTTGTGGATGTTTTCTAAATGAATTTGCCCTCTTCTTCAACTCTTTTAACGATTAACTAAAAGCGCCTTTACACTTTTGCAACCTTCTGCTGGCTATGTTTCAGTTTACTGAACGCGTCGTGAAGGTTTTATGAGTATATGAAGAGTAAGAAAGAAAAATGTCTCTTACTAAGGTTAAATAAGCTGGATTTTATACTAAATCATTACCAGAACAAGTATAACGACCTAGTTATCAGTTCAAACTCAACGTATTTGAAACGAGAAGAGGAAAGAAACGAAAACAATGCAAGAATTTACACCGGGTCAAAATGTAGCGATGATCACCCCATTCACCGAAAGGTTATTGATCAACCGTAACTTACCAAGAAATGATTGAAATCTAATAGTTCAATTTATCCTAGAAATTTTTAACTATGTTCAACTGATTTATCGAAAGTTTCAACAAGATAAAGTTATTTTGAAATTGAACCCTTATTCTGAAAAAATATTTTTATTTATTTTTTTTTTGTTTTTCATCTTATTCGTTTGATCTCCTTTAATTATGTTTAATTATGCAACCGTTTAATTACGCATTATTTAATTATACAATCAAGTAATGCAATATTTAGTTATGCAATCTAAAAATTGAGTAGTAAAGCAGTAAATAAAATCATTAGTGACAAGAGTCAGTTCTCTTACGGTTGATCTCAGAATCGGTCTAAACATTTCGTTCCATATAACCAACTCGCCGGAAAAAATTACCCGTTTTTCTGCTTTGGACCCGTGAACATATTTTCTATGAGCGTTGTCCATGATTTGGCCATAGACTGTCCACATCACTGTGTAACATCGTTAGAAGAAGATTTTGAAGAAAACAAAAACAAATATTGTTGGATGAAATTCGACGACGTTTTCATTGGAAAGGATCTTTTCCATTACACCAAGATAGAATTCTAATAACCCATAAACTCGAGTCAAAATGTGTTTCAACATGATTTCAAGTTTCGATATGAACTTATGATACCGATCATAATTTTTTCTTTAATTCGTCCAGTGATTCGAGTAACTTTAATTCTGTTCTTTTTTCGGCGAAATTGTTAAAAATGAATTCGAGAAAATTTTCCACCTCTGAATTCACTGACGGTTGAAATATGATGTTATTAAACATTAAATTTCTTTCAAACTTTGGGTTAATGGAAAAGATACTTAGGATCTTGCCTTACCATTACCCAGAAAACAAAAACTTTCAGGTTCCCGGTCGAAGATAAAATTGCTGTTTATATTATTGACCCAATTCTGATGAAGAAATCAACTCGTGAAAAGTATTATGCAGTTCATAATTTAAAAACAGCAGATGCTATGGAATCAATTCATAGATTCTTTGAAGTAGAAAATGTTTTTTAGTGAATATCGCACAATAGCAGTGAATTTTCTACCAAAAATTATCTGAATTATTGTTCCAACTTCCGAAGGAAGTGACGGAACATTTATGCTCCTGGTGGATTTTTCTCTAGATAATTTCGACTTTTTAACTAGAATTGATGACAGAATTTCAAAAGATCAATCGAAAGCTATTATTGTTTTTCCTAAGACTATAGGGATTTAAAGATTACCAATTTGGGACAATTAACGCACTACTTAATTCGCGCAAATTGCACGTAAGCGTCGATCTAATCCATCTTAGTAATCGTTTCAAATTAAATTGAAGCCTGCCACTTAGTCTCTTTAATATTTTGCTTTATGAAAATTACTTCCCTTGCGATAAGCAAGGGTATTGCAATCAGGTTTTAGACTTTTTTCCCGGAAAGAAAATTGTTCACAGAATTCTGCTACTCTCTTCTTTTTTAGGAGTACTTTGTTTCATAATAAATTCAAATTTTTTATTGGAAGTAACAAATAGGTCTAGAACGGCAAATGTCTTGGGTTTGAACCTCACCAGGACCTGTTTTTTTCGATTACAAAATAGTCCGTTTCAAAAAACAATCGTCGGTTTATTATTGTTTGCTTAAATTTTGTCTGTTTAGTTTTCTTATCGTAGATTTTTTAGTTCTCGATACCTTATAGCTGCTTTTAGTTTTCTGATTAACCCCTGCCGTTTGTAATTTTACTAGCCTTGACTTCGTATATTTTCTATTTTCTTTCTTTTTTTTGCTTAAATACATTATTCTGCCCAAATGATTTCGGCCCGTTTTTTATCGGCCTAGTGAACTAAATTCTAATCATTTCAGCGGAAACATATTTACCATGCTCACCTCTGGATTGCACAAAGTGCTAAAAAATCTCAATAGAAATTACAAATTAAGTTTTTCATGAAAACAATTTTTTCGCATTTTTTGTGTTTTTTTCTGCTTTTTCGGCTTGATAGGTTTTGGCTTATATTCTATCAATTTATTGGCCTAAAATTGCGTCTTTCAACGAGCAAAAAATGTGTTTTAAGGGTGAGGGCGATTGTACCCTTTTTTGGGCTTAATAAGTTTCCTTATATATATTTTGGCTTATTGGCCGGATATTGTTTGATTTGACGATCAAATAAAGCTTTCCGAGTGTTTAGGTAACTTGAGGTCGAGGGAGATATATTAAACTTTCATAAGTCTTAATTCTTGTTAACTTTTTCGGCTTGAAAGGTTTCTGACAAGGTATTTTCGGTATTGTCACTGGTGGGTACATTTTCTTCCGATGCTTATTTCACATTCTACGGTCTTCGCATGCTTTTGTTTCAAAACAAAGGTTTATTCCTTTGATAGGATTAGTTTTTTTACACTTTCGAATTTTCTTTTTTTTCAATTGTTTTTTCTTTTTTATCGCGAGTGGTGCAAAGCTTAGCTTCGCTTCTGTGTATAATTTTTTCTTTACCTATAATTTTGTACTTACATTTTTGAAAAATTTTAAAAAACGAATAAAATTACAATTTACTCAGAAAATTCAGGGATCTGCCCAGATACGAGCAGTCTTGGTCGAAACATTCAGGGTTTCTCCTTGACATCAGCAATATTGATTTAGTATTTTTTATTCAATCTAATTCAGCCGTTTGCATTTGATTCTACAGTATTTCTTGTTTTATTTGGTATTGGTTCTTCCTGCAATTTGATATTCAAATTCAAATTTCTTCTATTTGGAATTCTAAGCAATAATTTTTTTTTATTATGGTTTGCGATCGTTCAACCTCATTTCAGAATGAGAAAAATGGGTCTCCTGGTCTAATAGAAGGTCATTAGACCAAAATACCCATTTTTCTTAGGCAAGACCCATCAGGCAGGAAATAATAAAAAAAATCCTAAAAGAACATAGAAATTTTTTTACTCTGGCCTGAAAGTGCTTTTTTCGACTTTCTATGAAAGTGGCTGAATATTTGGGCACGGGTCGTTTTTGCTCAGAAGAATTTTTTTTCTAATGAAGGCACATTTTTCTATCGAACTGCAAAGATGCAAATTTCATGAAAAACGTGAACGACTTCTTTTTTTGAGAACAAGATTTGAAATCAAAGAAATTAACTATTGATCTAGTTTTCTCTACCAATAAGTTGAATAATGGAAAATGGCGTTTGAAAATCAAAAAGCTTCACCATGAGATATTTATCTGACAAAAGCCGCCAACATTGAAAAAAATTTTCAAATTCCCATTTTTTCCATACGTCTCCATCTGTGTATTGGCTATGTCTTTTTAAAATTGGAACATTTCATCTTGTTTTGAGAGGGCGTGATTTGCTTCCTCGCTTTTTAAACACTATTACCCGCTCACTAACTTGGCTCAAAATTACAAACTGATTACAAACTGTATGCAAACCTGGTATCGTAAATTCTCAGTGGCATAGTAATCAACAATTTTGCGCAAAAGACAAATGAAAAAAAAAACAACGCTTTGTGTTTTAGGATTGGTCCATTTGTTCGAACCATTTGTTCGAACACATCCGTCCATGGTCCTATCAAATATCCAAGTGTTTGCCTTTGACGCTGCTGATAGTAGTCTCGATCTCAGCTGCCGCAAGAGCTTTTGCAGGCTCGGTTTTTTTTCTGGTTAATTAAAAGAAAAAAAAGTTATCCAATTGTGCTAACAAAAAGCGATTAAGTTGTTTAAAATGCTCAAACTGAAATGATTGTTAGGACCCACAATATGACCACTAGACGTATAACCCTACTAAATGATTTTTAGAACAACTTCTTGACGTTTTTGCTGTTTGCTGCGAAATGTGTAAAATAGCCCAGTTAAAAAATTTTCGAGCATTTTAAAATTTCAAAATTTTAAAATAATAATTTTTATTTTAAAAATTATTATTATTATAAGTGTTGTTTTTATTTTAAAATAAAAACAACACTTATTTGAAAGTAAAATAAAAATTTAATTTTGGTAAAAATAAGGTTGATTTTGTATCTGTTTCATAATTGTTAGATAGATATTTTGTAACTACTCACCAGTTCCGGCTGAAGCTGAGTGACAAGGAGAAGAACCTGATCCACACAATGAATTTAATAGGCAATTATGAGAGACAGTACAGCAATCAAAAAAGACGCAAGGCACCCAATTAGAAGAAAAATTATTAGCTGAATATTGAATCACAACTTGTCACAACAGTTTATTTTTATTTCGTTCAATTTAAGGGCAAGCAAGTTGTGAGACAATTATTCGTTCACCGCTAAAATGCTTTCGTTTTGTTTGCTTAGCTCCTTAATACGTTCACTGTCTTGATTAGATTCGTATCCTTGAAAAAAAAACGAGCACAGTACAAAAATCATGTTAGAACTCTTTCAACCGTGATTCGAGCTACAGCTCAAAGTTCGCAACAACTCTTTGATGAAGAAAAACATGCTTTGATGTTTTTCGCTGTTCAAGCCAGCTTAGAGTACGAAAGATTTCGTCGCTGTTTTCTGTTCATGGTCATCTTTTTGTTCATGAAGAGATCAAATCATGAGGAGATCAAATCATAATATTTCCAATTTGCGAAGATTATGACGGAGTAATTGTGCTCAGGGTGTTTTTTCTAAAGACAAGCTTTGACTTTTTAACTTCCAAACTTTGACGTGATTTCTTTATCATCAGAATTCTTTTGATGTCATGAGCCTGCATTTAATAATACTTTACTAGTCATTTGTTTGCAAACTTTTGAGGGTTTGAAAACTGCAGTATTGGCCAATTTGGATTGAATAACGCGAGAAATACGTCTGGCTATTAAGGAGAAAGCGGCTGTTTAATGCGGTCCAAAAATCGTTCCAATTTGAATTCCAGGCGTGTTAGTTGTACTATTTAAAACAGCTATAAAATTTCTAATACAATTAAGGCAGCCTAAAAATGTCCTTTTGCACATTAAATAGCGTGCACGAGCAGAGCAGGGCTCTGATTCATTAGTAAAAATTGTCTTAATTGTTTTAAGCGAACACTCTTCGACATAAAGTAAAGGTTAGTCGGTTTATTCAGGGATTCGCGCTGATACAAGCAGCCTTCATGTTTTTAGCTTTAAAACCGTTGTCAGTTTGGAAATTATAACATACCTCCTAGTATTTTGCCCAGAATTTTTTTTGCGATTCAGTCAATTGAACGCTAGAAAAATGAAATTTTTTTTGAAATTAATTGATAGACAAGCTTGAAAGCTAAAACAGTTTGATAGTGAGTGCATTGGCAAATGGCAAATTAAAAAAACTTAGTTTTACAGGATCCTTAGAAGGATCTCAAGCAGATGTTTTGTAGGCTTCAATTCAATTGAGTTCAAGCTCAATTTTCAATTAAACAAACAAACTAAAAGTGACTGGTATAGAAGTAAAAGAGGCTCAAAAACTGCTCCTGTATACGATCTGCTTTTAAATTAGTATTGTTTTTTGTGTGAAATTAAAAGACCCACCGATAAAATAAATTTGAGTGCAGTTGCCATCCTAATTTAATTTACAGCCATCCTCGTTGAATGCAAAAAAAAAGCCAAAACGCTGGAGAAATGCTACTCTTAAAC